TTATCTTTTTAATATTTCTATCTATATATTTAATATTTTACTTCATGGCAGAAACAAGCATCTATAGATTTGAGTGTGTGTCTGTGTGTGTGTGTGAGAGAGTGTGTGTGTGTGTGTACCTGTGAGGGAACGGTACGGCGTTGATCTCGGTGTTGAAGGCGGCGTCGGGGGTCACTCTCTCGTCCGTGCCGTTGATGCTCTCTGGAGTCACAGGAGACTGAAGTTCACCCGTCGCTGATTCCTGTCACATGATCAACACAAACACACTTAACTCAAGCTGATCAGAGCGACAGCAAACACGCAGATCAGGAAACACACACATCTGGCTTCTGCTTGAAACAGAATATCACACACAGTTCAGCTGCAGGAAGAGAACAAACAGACCTTCAGATCAAATCACAGTCGTTTATGACTTCTTTTTTTTTAATTCAGTCTCAGTCCTGTGCCAGATGTCATTTTTAGTTTTTATCATATTTAGTCAGCCTGTCCTTTTGTCTAGTTTGAGTCAATTAAAATGGTCACATTTCAGCCACAATGCATAATGGTTAAGCTGATAATCACAATTAATTTGCTCAAAATTATAATCGTGATTACAGATCAAGATTGTTGTCATTTGAGAAATAAGCTGAAAATAACTGCACTTTCACCGATAAGCACAAATCAAGAGAATGTCAGCTTCATTTGACCTCCTGATTTATTACATCATCATAAATATAAACACTCTCTACATTATGAAAAATGGTTGCCAGGTTGAGAAGATAAAGCAAAACAAAGGCCAGAAATAGCTCTGATGGGGGATTTAAACTCCTGACATCTGGCAACCGCAAGCATTTGAGTTTCTCTAGTTATTATTATATTCCACAGCACTTTGGTCAACCTTGGTTGTTTATAAATGTGTTTAATAAATAAACATTGAACATTTTTATTAGGTATCGTTTTTCATCAAAAAAGTTCATTAAATGAAGTTTTAATGAATTTAACACTATTTGCATTACAGTAGCGAGTGAGAACGGAGGGGAAAATGTGTGTGACAGTCATGAAGATGATGTCAAAAATGCATTTTTTTGTCACAGTAAATATGAAGCGTTTCTGGACAAACGTGTTGTTTTTAGGCAGGATGAATCTGCTGTAGCGTGAACGGATCTGCGGGAAAACTCACAGATGAGCACTAATCTGACATTCACGAACACAGCGAGCGCTTCGGTCTTACCTTCACTGCCGTCCGAATCTGTGCGTTTCAGAGAAGTGAACGACATCATGAGAGAAATGACAAAACACTCATCAGTGCTGATCAGAGCGGAGCAGGGAGAATAAATGAGCAGTGTTGGGACTGAAGGGACACGGTGTGGTGGGTCTCACGGGTCGGGTTTGGAGGATTTAAGGATGTTCTGACGGTCGGATCATGTGTGTTTCTCCTTACCTTCAAGCGCGGGAAGCACGAGACGGATTTGCGCTTGAGAGACAAAGTGATTGAGGAGGTCAGATTAAGTACTAACACACTGATCTGAGCTGGTCTGTGCTGGTTTCGTGTGGTTTATACCTGTGAGGGAGTGCTGGTTAACTCCATCTTCTCCTGAGATCTCTCTTTGGCTAACCGCGCCGCCTCTTTGAACTCCGCAAACTTGTCAGCAAACTGCAGAGAGAGAAACCAGCACGGCGTCAGGAGACGAGGGTGTGATCTGAGAGAGGCTCAAGCTCTGGTCCGGACTCACTTTGCTCAGATGGGCCTCGGAGGAGAAGCCCAGGCCGTAGACGGTGTTAGCCCGACTGTCTGCCCACTGACCGAACTTGTGTGAGGTTTTGGTGAAGCTCATGTTGGGGGTGATGGTGCTGTTGATGATGGCCTGCAGAAAACACCACGTCAGCCTGACATCAGATCAGTGCTGGAGACACCCCTTTTGTCAATTTAATTTGATGCGGACACCAAAACGTGACATCTCGTCTTTGACCCAAATATATTTGTGACCCTGGAGCACAAAAGCAGTGTTATGTCGCTGGGGTATATTTGTAGCAATAGCCAACAATACATTGTATGGGTCAAAATTATTGATTTTTCTTTTATGCCAAAAATCATTAGGATATTAAGTAAAGATCATGTTCCATGAAGATATTTAGTAAATTTCCTACCGTAAATATATCAAAACTTAATTTTTGATTAGTAATATGCATTGCTAAGAACTTCATTTGAACAACTTTAAAGATGATTTTCTCAATATTTAGATTTTCTTGCTCCCTCAGATTCCAGATTTTCAAATATTGTCCTATCCTAACAAACCATACATCAATGGAAAGATTATTTATTCAGCTTTCAGATGATGCATACATCTCAATTTCACAAAATTGACATTTAAGACTGGTTTTGTGCTCCAGGGTCACAAATGCAGTAAAATATATATTTCTCATAGTTAGTTCATGTTAAGTTAACTAATGCATTAAAGCGATGCTTTGATCATTCTCTCATCATTTACTCTTCCTCGCGTCGTTCCAAACCTGCACGAGTTTCTTTCCTCAGCTGAACACAAATAAAGATATAAAAGAACGTGGGCATCTGACGGTAGCCATTGACTTCTATAGTATTTGTTCCCATACTATGTAATCAATGGACAGCAGCAGCTGTTTGGCTCCCAGCATTCTTCAAAGTATCTTCTATATTCAGCAGAAGAAAGAAACTCAAGAGTAAATGATGACACAATGATCATTCTCAGGTGAGCTGTCGCTGTGACGCTAACAAACGAGACTTAATCATTGGAATCTCATGAGGACTAATATTTCATGTCAGCGGGGTTGGGCTGACCTTTGACCCGTCGAGGCTGATGATGCGGTACACGGTGCGTGTGCTGTCGTAGAAGTAGGACACGGTGACGGCGTGTTTGCTGGTGGGAACCCAGTTCTTCTTGGTGCTGGGGTCGATCTGGAAGACGTGCGCTCTGGTGCTGAAGATGGGCTGCTCTCTGCAGGAGACACAGACACACAGCTGATACACTATATGCCAAAATAGCCAAAATATAATTGAATGGGATTTCTCAAAACAGTGTTATGCTCTTCATTATGCTGTGTTGAGTAAAAAGAGATCAAATCCCAACAGGGATATGTGTGCATGTACAGTATGTGTGTGTTTCTGTGTGTGTGTATCTGTGTGTGTGTGTGTGTCTGTGTGTGTGTGTGTGTGTGCGTGTGGACCCACAGGAGGAAATCAGCTCTAATCACACACGACTGATAATGAATTTGACTACAACACACCGAACCATTGTTCAAACACGTGTGTGTGACTCGCTGTTCACAATCACACACACAGATAAAAGTCAAACTGGCTGATGAGGCTTTGACATCAGCAGTTCTCTCTCACACACACACACTCTCACACACTCTCACACACACACGCACACACACACACACACACAGACACACACACACAGACACACACACACACAGGCCAAGGGTGAGGTGGTCCATCTGCTCACAGTGCAGTCACCGTCCCACCAATCACACGCCGGCACAACACAATCACTGCACACACACACCGCACTAAACATGGCATCACACACTCATCACTCATCCTTTCGTTCATGTAAAAATATTTACTATGATTAAGAATTATTCTGTGTATTTTCAGCGTAATGCCTGTGAACAGATTCATCAGATGCAGGGCCGCCGCTATGGTTTCTGGGCCCCTCGTCGGGCCCTTGGAATCATCCTGACCTCCCCCCCGTTACGGCTCCGATGATATTTGCTCATTTTGAGATGATCAGCCTCTGATCAATGCATTCGATTAGCTGATGAACAGCAGTGATCGTTTTCTTTCTGTCAGAAAACAACACTGACATGCTGCATATGACTGATCTCATCCATGCAAAGCACTAATCTGCATTGGCAGTGACAGTTTTGAGTCAATAATCTTCTGTGAAGGATCATGAAACGCTGAACTCACGGTGTCACTGCAATATTCTCATTTCAGCTGATAAGCACACAAACACCTCCAGGAGCTGAGGTTTTCTACACCATGATAAACGTCAACAGGATAATCTACCAAACGATCAAACCGCGCAGTGATTCAGTGATGCTCAGATGAAGCAGCAGCTGGAGTAAAAACAGAAAGATCATGGAAACATACCCCATTTTGCTGGCTCACAGATCTCCGCTGATATGCTCGTGTTGATGCTGCTGAGTGCGATTCAGTCCGCCGTGACGCTCGGATGCTGAACGCCGCTGTTCATGATGAAGATGATGATGAAGAAGACGAGTGATGCTCCAGATCATCGGCTCCTCAGCATCCTCCTCCTGCAGCGGACAGATGATTTACTTCCTCAACGCGTCCGGTCCTCTCGCTCCTGCTGTCTGTCATCACTCTCCGAACTCTGACGTCACGGACAGTACACGCGTTCCGTCACTTCCGGCTGCTTCTCGACCGCTTCCATCGCAGACGAGCAGCTTTGCTACAGACTGAAATCACAGCGGTGCTCTTCCGCGGCGCCATCTACCGGACACTGCATGAGAATTAACGAGCCATCATCATTATTAATCAGCTCAGTGATGAAGAGACACTACTTGACTCATTTATCAGACTGCACTGTTCTGGCAAATAACATGAATTTATAGGTGCGTCCCAAATCGCGTGCTTATGCACTATTCTGTGACGTCTTGTAGTATAAACAGTGCGAGTGCTGCATTCACACTGAAGATTCCAAAAAGAAAAAGTGCACTTTAAATACCCGGATGATGCATGAGTGTGGAATGCTGGACACTTCATGCACTCAAGTACGTCCCGAAGGGGAGGGGCTATCAGACTCCGATTATGAATGACAAAATAAACTTATATAATTCATACACTACATGGTTGAGTACATAGTTCATAAGTACATAGTGTATGAGTGCATCATTTGGGACGGAGCTTATGTAAATAGTAATTAGGCTGAATAACACTAAATTAAATCAAGGAAACACCTCAGTCCTATAATGCAATTAGCTGGTTAGTGCACCAATGGACACTCTTCACCGCACACAAACTCTCACATGTTCTCAAACACTCTCTCTCTCTCTTTAAGTTTCTGATTTCACCCTGATCTTGAGTTACTCATAACTGCAGTGACGGGCATCAGCAGGTGATTCAGTGAACAAACCCAGAGCTGCATCTGCTTTTCTCTGGATCACAGATTTATACAGATATTGATTTTCTTGGTTTTCTTTTACCCTCTCCTCATAAAAATCAGTAGCACGGTTTGTAAAAATAAATACTTAAGTATAAATGCTTCTGAAGAACAAAGTGTACTTGTGTGAAAAGCTTCTGTGACCTACACCTACCTATCACACACATTTTCACCAATTTATATATAATTTCTCTTTTCGTGAAATACTTCCTTGGTACATCTTTTGATTCAGTTTGTGTGTTGTCTTGTGTGGATTAATAAAACAGATTTAAGCAGTTGTGTGGTTCATGTTACAAAGTCGTAACAAAGTGGGGGCTCGTCCGGGATTTAAACCCAGGATCACTCTAAATATTTTAGAACTGAGAATAATTAGAAAAAAATAGAAAGTTTGCAATTGTAAAATGCTTTTTCTTACATTTTTACACATTCCATAACTATGGGAAACCTAAAAAGGGTCACGTGAGAATCTCTTGCTGGGAAAATGTGAGATTTTACATGATGTAAAGGTACAAAAAAAAAAAAACAGCCATAGAATGTTAAACTGATTTATTGCTGCAACACAACACCCAAAAGCAGAATTTCAGAAGCAACCGGATCTTGGAGTGACGCCGCAGATGCCTCAGATTTTTGCCATGTTTCATTCTGATTGGTCTCTGGGTGAATATTTGACTTGTGTAGTTTAATGCAGCGCGTAATAAACATCTAGTCTGTTTTCCTTCGACTCGTCATGACCTGCAGAGCCTCTGAGAAGCTCAAGTATCTGTGAAGTATTTTTAGGTTTGGCAGGGCGATGCAAAAAACCCAATACCTGTTTTCACAATGTGATACCAGGAGCACAAAGTTAAAATCTGGACAACCTTGCTGTTACCAGGATGTGCTGATAAATCTTCAAGCACAATTAAAATTTCACCTTTTGAGGATGACTGGCACCTGCGAGTAGATGCACCGCGCCTCACTGCATTCTGCAACTCTCGCAGAAAACGGGACGCCCGTGTCAGGCTATTTACAGATAATGCTGAGCAAGAGAAAGTTCCCACAGCTGAAATGACACGAAGAGAGCGACCCGTTCGCCTGTAAAGCGCCTCTGATTAATGCAACCTGCAACAAAAAATGGAAATGATGGAAATAATGGATCCAGAGAGCCAGATGACAGCACTGCTGGATGACACGCTGGCTGAAGAACAGCTAAACGATGAGCTGGAGGATTTGAGCAACAGGTGAGAACCTCAAACACACATTAGAGAGCTTAGAGCAGATCAGCCATGTCAAACCGCAGCTGTTTATTTATAATCTTCATTAGTATTCCTGCTTGCACAAGCACGACTATTACTACTATTAGCGTGACTTTTTGTTACTAATGAAATGCTTGAATGATGAATCAATGTTAAATACCCTGCAGTTTGAGAGAGGTGGTCCAGGATGGTGCGGTCAAGCCGAAGCTCCACTGCCTGATGATGGATCCGTCCTTCTCGATGGTGACGGTCCAGAGCGAGGACAGCGGGATCGTTTGGGAAACCGCTTCCAGCCGCTGCTCCACACCCTGGGCCTCAGAGTTCAACTCTCCGGCCTCCGAACCCGGATACAGCTGCTGCGGCTCTGGAGCGGCCGGCAGGATCATCTTCATTATGGACGAAGAACTGATGAGCAGAAGAAAGAGGAAGCCAAAGTCTGAGAAATCGAAGATGCTTCCTCAGGTCAGCCACGAGATCCTCGCTGAAGCAGAGAGACCAGCCATGGTGGAAGTGTCCCTGCCGAATGTGACACGGGAAGAAGGAACAGACGAACACAAAACGGCTGATCTGAGAGAAGAAAAGCACCAGCGTTTGTTCAGTCTCGTCTCTGAAGGATCTGAGATACTAAACATCATCGCTCCGCCGAGAGTCTCCACCGTGGATGAAGAGGACAGCAAAGATCTGGAAGATAACTTGTATTACCTCGAGGAGACGCCTGCTGTGAAATCCGCAGAGATCCCGGACGAACCTGAGCTGGACTTTGAGACTGTAGAGACGGAGAAGAGTGTTTTATTGATACCAGAGCCTGTTGTCCCGTCTATCCAAATATCCCGAAGAGGACAGACGACCGAGGACTACTTTGAGAAGTTCACGCTCCTTGACCATCAAGCTCCATCAGGAGCAGCACCAGTAGAAGAAGCCCAACGGGAGACAGAGGACAAGGTCACAGAAGAAGATGGTCCTGAAGCAGAACCAGGACCTGGACTTTCTGGAGTCTCCTCAGCTGTGAGTATGCTAGACATTTCTGGCGAACACTTGGACGATGTGTTTTACGGCGGAGGGAGCGAGCCACCTACTGCTGCAAGTGTTAGTGAAAAGGAAAGAGAGCTTTCCAAATCCTCTCTGAAGGAAAGCGGAAGCGCCTTGTTTGGAAGCGAGGAGTCAGTTCTCACTCCCATATACCTTCCCGAAGGTCCTCCGAAAATCATCGACCCCAATTTGCTTGAGGAGCCCAAAGCCTTGGCGTTTCTCTACTCGGACTTGTACGCAGACGCCATCGGTACCAGAAAGAAGCAGGACGATGACGTCGAGAGCGTGACCTCCGAGAAATCCTTCCACAGTCAAGCTTCCAACTCTGAGGACAGAGGCTATCTGGAGAAGTTTGTGCTCAAGGTTGAGACTCTGGCTGACGTTGTTCCTGAGATAAGCCCAGAGGAACGGCATGACCCTTTCAGACTCGCCGGGTACGTGGCACACCACAAAGAAGAAGTGGACAATCAGGCAGAAGAGCAGGAAGAGATCACGGATTTCTTTAGGAACAGTGCATCTTCATCGCCCTGTGAACCTGTCGACTTCGAGCAGCTGGAGAAAGAGGAAAAGATCGAAGCTGTCAGGACGCCTCGGGTCACTTTCAAAGATGAAGCGCCAAAGAATAAGCCCGATCATCTACCGTTGGCTGACGACACAGAGTTTTCAGATGAGTTTTTACCAGTTGAAATAAGCGAGGATTGTCCGGCGTGGGAGGAAAACTTGCAGACGGTTGTCAGAGCTGCAGTAAAATCAACTTCAACACGCACGAATGAACTAAGACAAAAAACAAAATCAGTAAGTGATAAAAGCTCTCCAGCACCAATCCAAGCCCAAAACACAGTCAGACCCATAATTCCACACCACAAACCCTTCCTGGATCTGAGCCCGCTGCTGCGCGTCCAGACCGAGGACGAGACCGAAACAACAGAGGCAGAGAACACAAGCGCTGATGCCTCATTCAGCACCAAAGCAGCAGCAGAGGTCAGCAATCAGGACTGTTCGATCCCCGGAGAACTTCCCGACGTGAAGGACTCCAGAGGAGAGAGCCGTGATGATAGAAATCTCACAAATCTGCTGCATGAGGACGCTGCTGAAGCTCCAGCTGCTTCGAGCAAGTCTGATTGACATTTGAGCCTTGCTGATTCACTGGCTTGACAACGAGTGATCCGTAAGCATCTGCGTCCGTCCTTCAACAAAACAGAAAACGAGCAGAACATTATCAGGAGTCTCTATGTCTGTCGTGATGCATCTGAGAGATTCAAATGGAAAAACAGATCAATATGGTAGGCAGTTCCTGTACAGTATACGGCTGTAGAAGCCTATGATCTGTGTTTGTGAGAGTGTATGTACAGATTACAACTTAGCCTACCTCAACAGCTGAAAACAAGTAAATGACTTAAAAAAGGTATAATGTATCTGTGCTTAAATGATGTACATATGGTTATAATAGTCACTTCTCTGAGTAAAACCATGCAGTCAGTGATGCTGCTCAGGCTTCAGCATATGTACATATGTACTTCATTTAAAAATAATCAGTCACAAACACGCGTAAACATTTGTGAATACAATGAATAAAGTATAAATTATTTACTGTTGACATGGTGAACTGTCTAAATGTTTCTAAATGTCTTTTTCGTTAGAGACCCAAACTATGCATCAACCAAAAATCAAAATCAATTATTTTCTGAAGCATACGGTAAAGTTCTTGTCTTGATCTTGAGACACCTCACAAGGGGCCCCTGGGCTACAGCATTACGGTAGGCCCCCTACCCTAGATATTGTTTTATTTTTATGAATTTTTTTAGCTTCCTGACAATTATGTCGAATTTCGAATTTTTCTTGTTGACATACCTGCTAACATTTACAACACTGTTCTGCTTAAAATATGAATACAAGTGAATATGCAAATTCGCTCTTTGCCAGAAGGTGGCGCTTGTGGAACAGCAGAATTATAGCCTTCACATAAAGTAAACACTAGGCTATTACAGGCATTATACAGAGGTAATATGAATTCATTGTGCATTCGGTGGAACATATCAACTATACAAACTGTGTGGGGGAAACCTAAACCGAATCATTCACTTCATATACTACAGGCAGGGCGTCGCTGAAAATGAGTGTCCGAGTTTGTTTGTACAGAATGCTGTTGTCACTGTTGCAAACTCCCATATATATAAATAATTAATCGAAAAATATAATTTACCTGCAGCCAGTAGGCCCCTCCCAAGTGTGTAAATATTAAGTCATTAACTGATTCTTATACCTTTAAGAAAGTTAATATTATTATTTGTCCCTTTGTCTATTTGTTTATTTTTAATACGCGCCCTCTAGCGGCGAAAATTACATATTGTGCCTTTAAGTATCTTACCTCGATAATTCGCGCCTTTTCTGTCGGACTGATATTTGACACAAAAAAATATATTTACATGCGAACTGGATTAAATATAACATTAATTTACAAAAAAAATAAAACACTCAAAACCAGAAATTAAAAATCTGAACAAGAAAACATATGGGTTTTCAGGTGATTGATTAAACAAACTTGAGAATGACTTTTACAGAACAAAAGATGCGAAATGAAATATGACAATTAAAAACGCTAGTCAATGAGTCTTACCTGCGGTGCAGAATCTGATGCTCGAGTCCGGATCCGGATCGGATTCAGTTCTGCCGTCTTCACTGTACATGATCCATGACGTCACATATCAACTGCATTCGTTTTTTAACAGATGCCTCCACACAAATGAGAAAACCCCTCGTCTAACATTTCACCTCAAAGATTCTGCTAGTAAAAGCTTTCAACCTTTAAAATAAGTTTGTAAATAAGAAAAACAAGTTGAGACCAGTAACTCCCTATAAAACTGTTATTTGCATGCAAACATTTTATAAATCAATAAATAAAATAAAAATGATCATAATAAGCATAAACGAAATGAATTCTTCAGTGAAGTCACTTTTGCTGAAATCTGAGTTTCGTAATATTCTGTATTTGATGATTTTATAGTGGTAAAAGAGTTCAAGAAACATCCTAAGAGACCGCAGAAGTGAATAACAGGCCTCTTTTACAAAGCAATGATCTTTCAACAGCAGACAAAGCACAGATATTGAAATATTAAAATATCTAAAACTGTTCCAACACCAGGAGTCTGTGTTTAAATTCAGAATGTAAAGATACTCACATATACAGCTGTTTCAATGATTTAAAAACACACCTGATGAGCCGAGATAATATAATGACAATCATCATCGTCTGTGGGAAATAACGACTGGAACAGAGTGTTGGACAACTGTTATTATTATTAATAATAATCTCTCTTTACACCCAGTGTTGTGTGGACATCTTACTTCAGTACATCATGGTTTTATTGCAGTTCAGAATCGTGTAGAAAAATAAGCGCCTCGTTAACCATCATCATCATCATCATCATCGTTCCAGGAGATAAACATCTGATCCCGCTGCCAGTCGATCACGTTCATCATGAGATTGCAAATAAAAAGTGAATATGATTAAAAATACAACATAAGAAAAACGATGAGCTCCCCAAAAGAGAATGGCTTTAATGACAGATGTGTGATTGAGTTCTCCGCCGGGACCTCGAGAGACTTCCAACCGGGAGTGTTTACAGTGATGCCATGAAAACATCCAGACGAGAACTTCCTTCCAAACGTGAACAGAGGAGCCTTGAGAAGATTCAGTCAAGCTTATATATCTCTCTGCCTCGAGACAAATAATCACGGTTGTTCCTTATAAAGACACGAGCAGAACGTCCTCACACACACATATATCTCACACACTCTCTCACACACACGCACACTCTCTCACACACACACACATTCACTCGGGCACATTATCATTTACAAATAAAAACAAAGAAAAACACCCCTAGAATAACGCAGCTCTCACTGCTGTCCATGTGCAACACAGAAACGAGCCCGACACACACACACACACACACTCGTGAGCTCACTGTAGTGTGACGTGACAGACGTGTGTTGTAGGAGAGCAGCGTAACGTCCTCCTCGCGAACACACAGGTGTTTCTGTGCCGTCAGTGGCAGTGAAGAACATCACGCAGATGATGACCGGCGCTCCTTTACCTGCTGGTGTCCATCGGATCCTCCTTGAAGTTCTCACACTGCTCCATCACTTTACTGCACACACACACACACACACACACTACGTCAGACCAGTCCAGAACTGCTTCTCTAGGTGTAAAACTGAATGATTACATGAAGACCTGCAGCATGATGTGATTCATGAATGACTCTTTTGAACTGTTCAAACGACTCACGAATCAGTGTCAGACTCATCACGCACTGGGTTATGAAAGCTTATGCCTCCCTTTATGTCTTTATCAGTGTAGTTATGACAGTTCGTGAAAACTGTGTTTTAATGACAATGTGTACTTTGTGTGAAGTCATTACCAAAACTTTAACCCTATAGCTACTGTATCAGATGACAGACACACATCTGAGGCTCTAAATGATCAGAGTGTGAGAGAGTGAGTGAATGAGAGTGAGAGAGTGTGTGTGAGAATGAGAGAGAGTGTGTGTGTGAGAGAGTGAGTGTGTGAGAGAATGAGAGGAAGTGTGTGTGTGTGTGTCTGAGAGCGCGAGTGAGTGAATGTGAGAGTGTGAGTGAATGAGAGAGTGAATGAGTGTGTGTGTGTGTGTGTGAGTGTGTGTGAGTGAGTGAATGAGTGTGAGAGAGTGAGTGAGAGTGAGTAAATGAGTGTGAGTGAGTGAATGAGTGTGAGAGAGTGAGTAAATGAGTGTGAGA